TTTGTCTCTGTCTGGATGGAGGGGAGTGGAAGGATTTATACTCCTTGCAGAAAAACTGGTCATTTGCATCCTTTTAGAGCAGACGTGTCAAACACAAGATCCAGGGGCCGGATGCGGCCCGCGAAGTGGCTTCATGTGGCCCGCAAAGCCATCCTGGAAACAATGAGGGAACGGCCCCCTCTGCCTTGGCCCTGGCCCAGGCCGGCCAGGAGCTAGTGTACAATTTTGTGGTGGCCATCTATGCTGCAACGCGTTCAGTCTTAGCTCCACAAGGCCGTCCGGAAACAGCGAGGAACCAGCCCCTGCCGCGTCGGCCCTGCCCCCTGGGTGCATGCTGGGGAGGGGTCCCCCTTTGTGAGGAATGAAGAAATGGACCATGCCTTGGCGCTTGCCCCGGTCCCACCCCCTTCTGCCAGAGACCCCCAGATCTGTCCCACTCCTGCCCAGGCCCCCACAGGCACCCTTGACGCAAATGATGTAGAACTGGCCATGTCCACCCAGTAGGCCACACCCACTCCATCCACGCCCACCCAGTAGGCCACACCCACCCTGGCCACACTCACCCAGCCCCCCCCCGAGGGCAACCGCAATGCTGATGCGGCCCTCAATGAAATTGAGTTTTGACACCCGTTTTAGAGAGTCGTTGAGGCCACTTGGAAGTTTGTCTGTGTCCTCCGTTTGAACGGATACAGGGCAGAAAACATCCCACAGTGTTTCTCAACCTTGACAATTTTAAGGCATGTGGACTTCAACTCCCAGAATTCCACAGCCAGTCCATACCATTTGCACAGGTGACTCTGAGGACACAGGTAAACCTCCAAGTGGCCTCAACGACCCTTTTAAAAGAAGGCAAATGACCAGTTGTCTGCAAGGAGTATAAATCCTTCCATTCCTCGCCATCCAGTCAAAGCTGAAAAAGCACCTTTGGAACAAAGCAGAGGCTGGATTTCTGCACCAATTTCACTTCGGAGACGATAGGAGTGACCGAAAGGGCACAGAGCTGGCAAATTTATTAGCTCGTAAAACTGCCCGCTGTTACATTTGGAGCAAGAATTATGTTTCCTTGAGTCAAAGCTCGCAGCGAATAAATGCTGGCTCTGGGGTTTGCGATGCTAACACATATCTTTCAGTTCCCATTAATTTTATCCTTCTCCCCCCCCTTAATAAAGACAGAGGCCTCTGTAATACTGTTGGAGACAGGAGACGTGAAATTTTGAAAAAGACATACGGTAGCTGGGGTGAGCAGGCAGGTTCATGGTAGCTGGCCAACAGCAGAGATCTCTGAGACGGAAGGGAAAAACATGTATTCAGTTCTATAGTCCTTGTTTTTCTCTTTTTTAAAAAAATAAAATTTTAGAATAGAATAACAAGAGTTGAAAGTTTCCTTGGAGGTCTTCTACCCTACCCTACCCTACTCTACCCTACCCTATTCCATTCCATATTCTACTCTATTCTACTCTATTCTACTAACTTATTCCATCCATCCCATCCCATCCCATCCTTATTCTATTCTATTCTACTCTATATTTTATTCCATCCTGTAATTCTATTCTATTCTATTCTATTCTATTCTATTCTATTCTATTCTATTCTATTCTATTCTATTCTATTCTATTCTATATTCTATTCCATTTTTTCTATTCTATTCTATTCTATTCTATTCTATTCTACTCTATTCTATTCTATATTTTCTATTCTATTCCATTCCATTCCATATTTTCTATTCTATTCCATTTCATATTTTCTATTCTATTCTATTCTATTCTATTCTATTCTATATTCTATTCCATATTTTCTATTCTATTCTATTCCATTCCATATTTTCTATTCTATTCTATTCCATTTCATATTTTCTATTCTATTCTATTCTATTCTATTCTATTCTATTCTATTCTATTCTATTCTATTCTATTCTATTCTATTCTCTATTCTCTATTCTCTATTCTCTATTCTCTATTCTCTATTCTCTATTCCCTGTTCTGTTCTGTTCTGTTCTGTTCCATAAAAGAGAGAAACAAGGGCAGTAGAACTCAATACATTTTTTTCCTTCCATCTCAGAGGTCCCTGCTGTTGGCCAGCTACGAACAAGCCATCAACAATTTTTAATGAAAAGTTTGTAAAAAGCAAAGTCAATGGGGGAAGCTGGATTCACTTAACAACCGCGTTACTATCTGAACAACTGCAGTGATTTGCTTATCAGCTGTGGCAGGAAAGGCTGTAAAATGGGGCCAAAGTCACTTAAGAACTGTCTCGCTTAGCAACAGAAACTTTGGGCTCAATTGTGGTCATAGGTTGAGGACTATCTATCTATCTATCTATCTATCTATCATCTATCTCTATTATTATTATTATTATTATTATTATTATTATTATTATTATTATTATTATTATTATTATTATTATTATTATTATTCATCGCACAGTCATCCAGATGTTCAGACTGGATATGGCATTTTTGTGTACCTATCGAGTCCTTACCCAGGACCTGGGATAGGCAGAAATGGATGTTTGACGGTATCACAGATCTCGTGGCAGGATGGAAGCAGTTCCTAGCAAGGCCGCCTTTTGCAATTGACTAATAGCAAATTTGTCAATGCCAATTATGGTGTTCAAGCGGTGCTCCAGTTGTTTTGGGGTTGCACCCCAGGCGCGTATTACTATTGGTACTATCTTTGCTTGCTTTTGCCACAGTCTTTCTATTTCTATTTGTAGGTCTTTGTATTTTGTTATCTTCTCCAGCTCTTTCTCGTCTATTCTGCTATCTCCAGGCACTGCCACGTCCACTATCCAGACTTTTTTGTCTTTCTTATCAACAATTGTTAAGTCCGGGGTGTTAAGTTGCAGGTGTCTGTTTGAATTCTGAAGTCCCAGAGCAGTTTAATTTTATCATTTTCTATGACTTTCTCTATTTTATGATCCCACCAGTTCTTGCTTACAGGCAAATGATATTTCTTGCAGATCTTCCAGTGCACCATTGTTGCTACTTTGTCATGGCACTGCTTGTAGTCAGTCTGGGTGATCTTCTTTCAGCAGCTTACCAAGTGGTCCACTTTTTCTTCAGCTTCTTTGCATAGGCGGCACTTACTGTCTGTTGCTGTCTTCTCAATTTTGACTTTGTATGCATTTGTCCTTAAGGCTTGGTCTTGTGCAGCCAGAATTAGTCCCTTGGCCTCTTTCTTCAATTTTCCTGCTCTCAGCCATTGCCAGGTCTTGTTATTATCTGCTTTCCCAGCTATTTTTTTCACGTATTGGCCATGTAGTGCTTTGTCTTCCCATGCCTCTATTCTGTTCTTCATTTGGTCTTTCTTGTAGGCCAGTTTGGTCTCTCCAGTAGTTAGTAAGCCTTCCTGATATACTAATTTCAGTGCATCTTCATCATTGTTCTTCAGATATTCTTCCAAAGCCATTTTTTCTTCTTCAACCATCTGATGTACTTGTAGCATTCCACGCCCACCTATTTGCCTTGGTAGATAAAGTCTATCAATGTCACTGCGTGGATGAAGGGCATGATTCATTATCATTATTTTTCTGGTCTGCCTATCCATTGCTTTTAGTTCTGCTTGAGTCCAGTCCACTATTTCAGCTGTGTATCTAATGACTGGAATTGCCCAGGTGTTGATTGCCTTTATGGTATTTCCTCCATTGAGTTTGGACTTTAAGACCTTCTTCACTCTCTTGATTTATTCACCTCTAATCTTTTTCTTGACTTCAGTGTGCTTGATGTTGTCAGCTTGAAGGATACCCAAGTATTTGTAGTAATCTTCCTCATCCAGACTCTTAATGTTATTTTCGTGGGGCATCTTGATTCCTTCAGTTTTCACTACTTTTCCTTGTTTGATGGTACGTGTGGCACATTTGTCCGAGCCAAACTCCATTGCAATATCTTGGCTATATATACGGACAGTGTTGATCAGCGATTCCATTTCAGATGATGTTTTTCCATACAGCTTCAGATTATCCATGTAAAGGAGGTGGGATAGTCTGGCAGATGTTTTTGATGTTTGATAGACATGTCCTGAGTTATTCAGTATTGTTGACAGAGGAAACAGTACAATGGCAAATAGTAATGGTGATAATGAATCTCCTTGAAATATTCCTCTCTTGATATTAACCTCTCCCAGTCTCTCACCATTGACCTGCAATAATAATAATAATAATTAATCATTGCACAGTCAGCCAGATGTTCAGACTGGATTTGGCATTTTGTATTATTATTATGGATCATTGCACAGTCAGCCAGATGTTCAGACTGGATTTGGCATTTTGTATTATTATTATTATGGATCATTGCACAGTCAGCCAGATGTTCAGACTGGATTTGGCATTTTGTCTACCTATCGAGTCATTACGATGATGATGATGATGATGTCAATGGGGAAGCCAATTCACTTAACAGTCATGTTACTAACTTAACAGCTACAAGGATTCACTTAACAACTGTGGCAAGGAAGGTCGTAAAATGAGACAAACTGACTTAACAACTGTCTCACTTGGCCACAAAAACTGTCAATGGGGAAGCCAATTCACTTAACAGCCATGTTACTAACTTAACAGCTACAAGGATTCACTTAACAACTGTGGCAAGGAAGGTCGTAAAATGAGACAAACTGACTTAACAACTGTCTCACTTGGCCACAAAAACTGTCAATGGGGAAGCCAATTCACTTAACAGCCATGTTACTAACTTAACAGCTACAAGGATTCACTTAACAACTGTGGCAAGGAAGGTCGTAAAATGAGACAAACTGACTTAACAACTGTCTCACTTGGCCACAAAAACTGTCGGCTCAATGGTGGTCGTACGTCGAGGACTGTCTGTACATTTTCTTAGTTCTACATCGAGATGCTGGAGATTGAAGTTGAACAATCTTTTGAATCGAAGTAGATTTAATGCAAAGCATTCAAACCTTTCACCAGATCTTCCTGCCTTTTGTGCGCCCCTGAACTATACTGTAATCAATTTGTCTCTCTTTTGTGTGTGTGTGTTTGTGTCTTCACAGTGGGAACGCCTCTGGTTCTTATTCCTCACTTTTTCTTTCTTCCTGACCCTGGTCTGGTTCTACTTTTGGTGGGAAGTTCACAACGACTACAATGAAATCAACTGGTAAGTCCAAAAAACAGTAACAACAAGCCCATAAACCTTAGCATGCAGTGCCCCTTTCCCCAATCAGATGCCCTCCAGATGTGGACGCCTGGAAAGGAGGATGGGAGTTGAAACCCACCAGGGTATCTGTTGAGAGCGTGCCTGAAGAAGTTGGATAAATATTAATAAAAAGAAGGGAATATTTTGTAGCTCAGTTTGCACTGTGGGGTGCCTGGTGCTCTCTGAGCTGGGTGGTTTTCTTGCAGACGTTTCATGACCCAGCTAGGGAACACCATCAGTTGTAGAAGGGAGGGGGGGCTTTGTGGGGGGGGGAGGAGGAGGAGGAGGAGGAGGAGGAGGAAGGACTGTGGGGTCCCTGGTGCTCTCTGAGCTTGGTGGTTTTCTTTCTTTCTTTTTTTTATTTTACAAATTTTATTTATAATACCGTTAAAAACAAACAAACATTGGATTTAACGTGACATTCCAGTATATTCATTCTTATCAGATTATTCCACTTTTTCCAATTAATTCTTCCTCTCTACGTATACATCTATGTTTTATGTACAATACTTGTTCTAAAACAACATATATTTCTATCTTGACATTCACCTTTCATCCCGACCGTCCTCTTCAAATTCCTCCAGCGGTAAAATTTATCCCAGGTTTCGTAATAAACTGATCCACATTTGTCTTTTAATATCATTGTCAGCCTGTCCATTTCCGCAGATGCTAATATTTTATGTATTAACTCTTCCTCTGTGGGAATTTCCGTGCTCTTCCATTTTGGCGCTAAAGCAAGCCTAGCTGCAGTCAGGATGTGTAGCAGCAGGTAGATTGTTCAGCTTGGTGGTTTTCTTGCAGACGTTTCATGACCCAACTAGGTAACACCATCAGTGCTGGAAAGGAGAGGGGTTTGCAGGGAGGAGGAGGAGGAGGAGGAGGAGGAGGAGGAGGAGGAGGAGGGGGGGGAGGAGGACTGTGGGGTCTTTGGTGCTCTCTTGGTTATTTTCTTGCGGACGTTTTATGACCCAACTAGGGAACATCACCAGTACTAAAAGTGCTAATTTGCTGAAGCACTAAATAACAACTCAGTCAATGAACCACCAGCTCAGACAAACAACCAAACAATAAACAATAGCCTAATCAAGGGACTGCCAAGAACACTCCCACCAACACTGGCAGGGCAAGCCATTTGTATGTAAAAGTAAGAGCAAGCCCCCCTCCCTTCTAACACTGATGATATTACCTAGTTAGGTAATGAAAAGTTTGCAAGAAAACAACCAAGATCAGACCACCAAGGACCCCACAGTCATTCTCCTCCTCCTCTTCCTCCTCCTCCTCCTCCTCCAAACCCCCCTCCCTTCTAGCACTGATGGTGTTACCTAGCTGGGTCATGAAATGTCTGCAAGAAAACAACCAAGCTCAGAGAGCACCAAGGACCCCACAGTCCTCCTCCTCTTCTTCTTCCTCCTCCTCCTCCTCCTCCTCCCACAAACCCCCCTCCCTTCTAGCACTGATGGTGTTACCTAGCTGGGTCATGAAATGTCTGCAAGAAAACCACCCAGCTCAGAGAGCACCAAGGACCCCACAGTAATCAAAAGACTTGCTCAGCAGATCTGGGTTGCATTCATAAAAAAGCTCAAATATATGCAAGCCCTAGGAAGAGTGTGCAAAGTTTTCTTTCTCCAGGGATTTGAGTCAAGAGAAACAGCATTTAAATTGTACCTACAGCGGGTGCTGAGTCTCCTTTCCTTAAACCTATTCCCATTCGGACTACCGCAGCACCACTTGTACAGGGCCAACCCTTGAAGAGTGTTTGGGAAACGTCCCGGGTGTTTTTCCAGTCCTGCCTATGTTGACATTGTCGGCTATTTTGGGGCAAGTTGTGTTGGCTGTCCTTTTGCTCTGGGGCACAATTCAAGGTGACAGTTGAGCGTGTAACTACGCAGTCACAAATTCCACCGGAAGGAATGTGCAAATTCGGAATTTCAGGAGCACAAACACGAAAGGCTTTTCATTACTTTGTTTTAATTATATAAAAAAAAAAATTGTTTTTTTTTTTTACTGAAACGCATTCAAGTCCAATCAGCCTTCTGCGTTCCCCAGTCAGAAAGATCTGCTAAACAGACTCCCTGACGTGTCGGTAAAAAAAAACAAAATACGGGGTTAAACATTCTCTACAAACAGCAGGGATGACGTTTTGAAACAAAAAAAAAAAAGCCAAAAAAACAAGCTTAGCTGGAGGAAATGCCCCTGCGAAAAGCTTCCATCAAATAATTAGGGTGTCAGAGGAAAGAAAACAGAGTAATTTGCATTTTTAATGAAACGTTCTGAAAGGAACTTGTGTTTGTGCCGCTGTAAATTACTGTCTGGTTCTAGGTGTGGTGCATCTGTCAGTTTCAAATGCCTTTCGTGAGGTTTGAAAGATTTTTTTTTTTTTTAATTTGCTCATCCAAGGACAGGGGTAGGCAACCTTGGCCCTTTTATGACTTGTGGACTTCAACTCCCAGAATTCCTGAGCCAGCACAGGGGGAACTATGGCCCCTTCATGTCTTATGGACTTCAACTCCCAGAAGTCCTCAACCAGCACAGGGGAACTATGGCCCCTTCATGACATGTGGACTTCAACTCCCAGAATTCCTCAGCCAGCACGGGGGAACTATAGCCTCTTCATGTCTTATGGACTTCAACTCCCAGAATTCCTCAGCCAGCACGGGGGGAACTATGGCCCCTTCATGTCTGGTGGACTTCAACTCCCAGAATTCCTCAGCCAATATGGGGGAACTAAGGCCCCTTTATGATGTGGGGACTTCAACTCCCAGAATTCCTGAGCCAGCCATGCTGAGGGGAAAGGGAGAAGTTTCCAAGCTGAGCCATGCTGGCTCAGGAATTCTGGGAGTTGAAGTCCATAAGTCATAAAAGAGCCAAGGTTGCCTACCCCTGTCCTAGGAAGAGAGAATTTGGATCTGTAGTGAGAAATGCCAGTATAGGTACTCCATTCATTTAGTGACCGTTTGAAATTACAACTGCACTGACAAAAGTGGTTTAAGATACTTTTCACACTTACCGTCCCCACAAGTCACGTAATCAAAATTTAGTCACTTGGCAACTGCCTCATATTTACGACGGTTGCAGTGTCCCTTTTGCCATCTTCTGACAAGCAAAGTCAATGAGGGAAGCCAGATTTACTTAACAACCATGTTACTAACTTAACAACTGCAGTGGTTCACTTAACAACGGAGGCAAGAAAGGTCACAAAATGGGGCAAAATTCATTTAACAACTGTCTCGCTTAGTGACGGAAATTTTGGGCACAGTGGTGGCCGTAAGTCAAGGACTACCTGTGCTGGCCTACTGACATAAATATTTTGGGACTGCGAGTTTTTTTCTGAGGGGGGGGGAATAGTTTGTAACGGACTGGATGACCTCCAAGGTTCCTTCCAACTACTACTACTACTACTATTACTACTATTTCTTCTTCTTTTTCTTCCTCCTCCTCCTTCTTCTCCTCCTCCTCTTGTTCTTTCTTCTTCCTCTTACTCTTCCTCCTCCTCCTTCTCCTCCTCTTCCAGTTCTTCTTCTCCTCCTCCTCCTCTTCCTCTTCTTCTTTCTTCTTCCTCCTCCTTCTCCTCTTCCAGTTCTTCTTCTCCTCCTCCTCCTCTTCTTCTTCTTTCTTCTTCCTCTTCCTCCTTCTCCTCCTTCTTCTTCGTCTTCTCTTCCTCCTCTTCTTCTTGTTCTCCTTCTTCTCCTCCTCCTTCTCCTCCTCTTCCTCTTCTTCCTCTCCTCCTCCTCCTCCTCCTCTTCTTCTTCTCCTCCTCCTCCTCCTTTTCTTTTTCCTCCTGTCTCAACTAACCTTTCTCCTTCTTCTCCTCCTCCTTCTCCTCCAGTTCTGGCTGAGGAATTCTGGGAGTTGAAGTCCACAAGGAATTCTGGAGTTGGTCCACAAGTCATAAAAGGGCCAATTTTGAAAACCCCTGAGCTAACAGATCAGAGATGGCTCTTTCCAAGTAGGATACATGCTGGCTGGGGAATTCTGGGAGTTGAAGTCCATACCTCAAGGTTGAGAAATGCTGGTTTTATCTAGGACAGAGGTGGGGAACTATGGCCCCATAGGAATTCTGGGAGTCGAAGTCCACAAGTCACAAAAGGGCCATAATTCCCCCTTCCTGATATAGGAGATAGGAAAATTCTCATCGCGGGCAGGGGGTTGGACTAGATGACCTCCAAGGATCCTTCACATCCTGTCATTCTATGATATATGCCCCTCGGCTCGATCTTCCCTGACATTAAAGTGGTTGCATTTAATTCTCTCTTGTATTCCCTCCCTTTGCCTCTCCAGGTTTTTATATAATAGAATGGGGTACTGGAGTGATTGGTCCATTCCTATTTTGGTTACGACGGCTGCTGGTTTCACTTACATCACAGCTTTATTGGTAAGTTTTGAACCCAGAATCTCTGGTGAGTTTTATCAAAGGTTAGATGGCAGAGATGGCCTGACGTTCATTTTCCTGAATAAAATAGGGCAGCTTTGTTCTTGCAGAAATTTTTTTTTTAAAAAATTGGATTTCTAAGTAGGGGGTGGAGTTTTTATTTTCAATTTTATTTTTTTTTATTTTATTTTCTTGACTTACAATCACAACTGAGGCCAAAAATTTCCATTATTAAGGTATTAAGCGAGTTGTGCCCATTTTAGGATGTTTCTGGCCACAGACGTTAAGTGAATCAATGCAGCCGTTCGGTCGTTAAGGGAATCCGGCTTCCCCATTGACTTTGCTTGTCAAAAGGCCTGTAAAAAGCGATCATAAATAAAACGTCATAAATGCGTGCCAGTTGCCAAGCGGCAGAATTTTGATCACGTGACCGCAAGGATGCGTCTAGAGAATTCTGGGAGTTGAAGTCCACACATCTCAACTTGAGAAACCCCGATTTACTCAGCCATCTCTGTTGACCTCGCCTGAGTTTAGTGTCCTGTAGACAGACAGAGATTGATCTCCTTAAGGGAAGACCGTAATGGAGGTCAGAATGGAGTTGATCTTGATCAGGGGTCTTCCAACTTGGCCCTTTTATGACTTGTGGACTTCAACTCCCAGAATTCCTCAGCCAGGCACTTGTGCCTGGCTGAGGAATTCTGGGAGTTGAACTCCACAAGTCATAAAAGGGCCAAGTTGGAAGGCCTGGCTGAGGAATTCTGGGACTTGAAGTCCACAAGTCATAAAAGGGCCAAGTTGGAAGGCCTGGCTGAGGAATTCTGGGAGTTGAAGTCCACAAGTCATAAAAGGGCCAAGTTGGAAGACCTGGCTGAGGAATTCTGGGACTTGAAATCCACAAGTCATAAAAGGGCCAAGTTGGAAGGCCTGGCTGAGGAATTCTGTGAGTTGAAGACCACAAGTCATAAAAGGGCCATGTTGGAAGACCCCTGATCTTGATTGTTTTACAAAATCAAAGTCAGATCTGGAAGGAGGAGAGAGTGATGGAAATGCCAACCCTGAAGGTTAGACTAGGAAGGTGAAATTGTCCCTCAGAAGAAGCCAGGTTGAGGTGGTTGCCCAGAAAACCATAGGGATGTTTCCTTGCATGCCCCAGGAGCTGAGCTGGATTTGTAGAAGACTTCAGCTTTTGTTCTTCATGGTTGCAAAAGCGCCTCCCTGAATGAATTAATAAATTGCTGTCTGTTTCCCCCCTTTGTTTTCAGATTTTAGCGCTTTGTCACATTGCTGTAGGACAACAGATGAACCTGCATTGGATCCATAAGGTGGGCTTAGGTTTGTTCCGTGACAGAGCTATTGTAATATGGGAGTGTGTCTCGGGAACACTCACAAAATGGCTGAGGAAGTGGGTCATAAAACTTGTTTTCCTAAAGAGTGAGTTCTTTACCAGTTCTCCTCCTCCTCTCCTCTTTCTTCTCTTTTCTTCTTCTCCTTTCTCCTTCTTTCTCCTCTTCCTTTCTCCTCTTTCTTCTTTCTATTTCTTCCTCCTTTCTACTTCTTTCTTCTCTTTCTCCTTTCTACTTCTCCTTCCTCCTCCTTCTCCTTTTCTTCTTCTTCTCCTCATTTTCTTGTTCTTCTTGTTCTCCTCCTTCTCCTCCTTCTCCTCCTCCTCCAGTTCTTCTTCTTTTCCTCCTTCTCCTCCTCCTTCTTCGTCTTCTCCTTCTCTTCCTTCTCCTTCTTCGTCTTCTCCTTCTTCTCCTCTTTCTCCTCCTCCTCCTCCTTCTTCTCCTCCAGTTCTTCTTCTTCTTCTTCTTCTTCTTCTTCTTCTTCTTCTTCTTCTTCTTCTTCTTCTTCTTCTTCTTCTTCTTCTTCTTCTTCTTCTTCTCCTCCTCCTCCTCCTCCTCCTTCTTCTTCGTCTTCTCCTCTTCCTCCTCCTCCTCCTCTCCTTCTTCTTCTTCTCCTTCTCCTCCTCCTCCTCCTCTTCTTCTTCTTCTTCTTCTTCTTCTTCTTCTTCTTCTTCTCCTCCTCCTCCTCCTCCTCCTTCTTCTTCGTCTTCTCTTCCTCCTCCTCCTCCTCTCCTTCTTCTTCTCCTTCTTCTCCTCCTCCTCCTCTTCTTCTTCTCCTTCTTCCTCTTCTTCTTCTTCTTCTTCTTCTTCTTCTCCTCCTCCTCCTCCTCCTCCTCCTCTTCCCCGCAGCTGAAGGATCAAGTTCCAGCAGTGGAAACCTGGCTGTGACTTTCCCTAAATTTTTTCCACCAAACCCAGGAAGTTTTTGATAGCGGCTTTAAGATCAACCGCTCTATCTTAACACAAGCTTTCATAGAATCAGGGTGCCATATCCAAATGACAGGTGTTAAAGTGTTTGTGAGAATGTGCATGCTTCCAAACACATAGGCACGCTGACCCCTGGGAACCTCTGTTTGACAGGCCTCGCCTGTCCTGTGAAGCTGAGATGTTCCATATTGCAGCCAGCTAATATCAAACCATGATTACTAGTAACTCAATTGAATAAAATCTCTTTGCTTGCATTTCAGATTGGGTTAATCACTACCTTGATCTCGACTGTTGTTACAATGAGTTGTGTAGCCCAGTTGTGGGACGATGAATGGGATATGGTGGTGATATCGTTGCAAGTAAGTCTTTTCACTTAATTTCACTCACACGGACGCACACACACACACACACACACACAAAGATTGCAGAAGCAAACAATATGTTTTTTTGCCCTAAATTTGATACTGCCCAGTTCAGCAATTGGATGTCTGCATCAAGCCTTTAAAACACACACACACACACACACAACTTTCCCTAAAAATCAATTTTCTCATTTTAGATATGGCTACAGGTAGTCCTTGAACGTACGGCCAAAATTTCTGTCATTAAGCAAGACACTTGTGAAGCGAGCTTTGCCCCATTTGACGACCTTTCATGCTGCAGTTGTTAAGTGAATCCCTGCAGCTGTTAAGTGAGTGACACGGTTGTTAAGTGAAACCGGTTTCCCCGTTGACTTTGCTTGTCAGAAGGTCGCAAAAGGGGATCACAGTGACCCTGGGACGCTGCGACCGTCGTCAAAATGAACCAATTGCCAAGCCTCTGAATTTTGATCACATGACCCTGGGGATCCTGCAACTGTCATATATGTGAAAAAAGGTCATAAGTCGCATTTTTTCAGTCCCGTTGTAACTTTGAATGGTCACTAAACAAATCTGTATCTTTCATGTTATGACTCGTGGACTTCAACTTCCAGAATTCCTGAGCCTGTGTGGCTCAGCTTGGAAACCTCTCCCTTTCCCCTCAGCGTGGCTGGCTCAGGAATTCTGGGAGTTGAAGTCCGCAAGTCATGAAGGGGCCATAGTTCCCCCATGCTGGCTGAGGAATTCTGGGAGTTGAAGTCCACAAGTCATGAAGGAGCCAAAGTTTCCCTCATGCTGGCTCAGGAATTCTGGGAGTTGAAGTCCCCAAGTCATGAAGGGGCCATAGTTCCCCCATGCTGGCTGAGGAATTCTGGGAGTTGAAGTCCACAAGTCATGAAGGAGCCAAAGTTTCCCTCATGCTGGCTCAGGAATTCTGGGAGTTGAAGTCCCCAAGTCATGAAGGGGCCATAATTCCCCCATGCTGGCTGAGGAATTCTGGGAGTTGAAATCCACAAATCATGAAGGGGCCATAGTTCCCCCATGCTGGCTGAGGAGTTCTGGGAGTTGAAGTCCAGAAGTCATAAAAGAGCCAAGGTTGCCTACCCCTGGTCTAGGGACAGGAAAGAAAGAATGTCAAAGATAACCGTATCAAAAACTGGGATTTTTTTATATGTATTGAGGAAGAAGTTTCCTGCAAAAATGGGTTCGTTTAATGACCACGTTTAACGATCATGGTTTTTGATTAATGACTGCAGCATTTGCTTAACAACCGCCCCAACAAAGATCATAAAAACACACTCGGTCCCGTGTTGACTCACTTAATGACCACTATCATTTATGACTAATTCTGGGCTCAATTACTGTCGTAAATCAAGGACTGCCTGTATAACATTATCACTGTGTCACATGACTGATTTTCAGCAATTTTTTTTGGCCAGAAATCAGTGTTTATTTCTGATTTCCGGCCAAGGATGCCCATTGACTGAAACGAGTTTGCTTAACGACCTCAGTGGTTGCTTAACAATAGTCTGGGTTGTAAAAACTGAGCAAAGTCACATGATCACCCACTTAATAAACATCAGGACATAAGTCGAGGACTACCTGTATAACTTTACAGTAAAAGTGTTATAGATCTACGTGGCATCCTATTCCTAGTCTGGAGGGCTGAAAACAGAGTACAGGAAGTCCTCGACTTATAACCGTTCATTTAGTGACCATTCAAAGTTACAACGGCACTGGAAAAAGTGACTTATGACCATTTTTCACACTTACGACCATTGCAGCATCCCCACAGTCACGTGATCAAACTTCAGACACTTGGCATCTGACTCGTATTTATGACGGTCACAGTGTCCTGAGGTAATATGACATTTTTCACACTTAACGACCGTTGCAGCATCCCCACGGTCACACGATCAAACTTCAGACACTTGACATCTGACTCGTATTTATGACGGTTGCAGTGTCCTGAGGTAATATGACCATTTTTCACACTTAACGACCGTTGCAGCATCCCCACGGTCACACGATCAAACTTCAGACACTTGGCATTTGACTCGTATTTATGACGGTCGCAGTGTCCTGAGGTAATATGACATTTTTCACACTTAACGACCATTGGAGCCTCCCCATGGTCACGTGATCAAAATTCGGACCCTTGTCAACTGGTTCGTATTTATGACCGCTGCAGCGTCCAGGAGTCACGTAATCCCTTTTTGTGACCTCCTGACAAGCGACGTAAATGGGGAAACCTGATTCACTTGACCACACTGTGATTAACTTACCGACTGCAGTGCTTCACTTAACAACGGTGGCAAGCAAGGTCGTAAAACGAGGCAAAATTCATTTAGCAAATGTCTCACTTAGCCACAGAAATTTTAGGCTGAGTTGTGGTCATGAACTGAGGACTTTACCTGTAAATGGAAGGGCCAACAGTTGAAAATTTAATTTAATTTCCCTGCAGCTTTGCGGAACTGCGTTTTGGATCCATGCGAATTCTGCTTTTCTGCCTTAATTCCCCTCTCCTCCTCCTCTTGCTACCGTTAGCTGTCCGAGAAACAACATTTGCTTACTAATTCTTTGCAAATAATTTCTCTCCCCACTCTAGGCAACTGCTCCTTTTTTACACCTAGGAGCCCTTGTGGCTGTCACGGCCCTGTCTTGGTTGGTTTCTGGACAATTTGCAAAAGCCGAAAGAGCGGGTGAGTAGATCTGGGTTCCCGTTCAGCTGGAAAAAAATGGAATAACAAGGAAGGGAGAAGACAGACAAATCGCAAAACGAGGATTTTGTAGGGGTGTTGTGGTGTCCCACACATATGAATGGAGCTTGTGTTGGGAGAGTTAACCAAACTTCGGGGAGCCTGAGCAATTTTTGGTGAATATTATTGTCACGATGCAGCCATAAGGCTCTGGGACAGTGGTTCTCAACATTTAGTAATAATAATGATGATGATGATGATACAATAATAATAAAGGCAGCCTTACTAGAACTGCTTCCATCCTGCGACGATATCTGTAATACCATCAAACATCCATATCTGCCTATCCCAGGTCCTGGGTAAGGACTCGATAGGTAGACAAAATGCCAAATCCAGTCTGAACATCTTGCTGACTGTGCGATGATCCATCATCATCATCATCATCATAATAATAATAATAAAGTTGGAAGGGACCTTGGAGGTCTTCTAGTCCAACCCCCTGCTCAGGCAGGAAACCCTATACCAGGGGTCTTCAAACTTGGCCCTCCCAGAATTCTGGGAGTTGAAGTCCACAAGTCATGAAGGGGCCTTAGTTCCCCCTTGCTGGCTGAGGAATTCTGGGCGTTGAAGTCCACGAGTCATGAAGGCGATACTTCCCTCATGCTGGCTCAGGAATTCTGGGAGTTGAACTCCCCAAATTATAAAGAGGTCATAGTTCCCTCATGCTGGCTCAGGAATTCTGGAAGTTGAAGTCCACAAGTCATGAAGGGGCATTAGTTCCGCCATGCTGGCTGAGGAATTCTGGGAGTTGAAGTCCACGAGTCATGAAGGTGCCATGGTTCCCCCATGCTGGCTGAGGAATTCTGGGAGTTGAAGTCCACAAGTCATAAAAGGGCCATAGTTCCCCCATGCTGGCTCAGGAATTCTGGGAGTTGAAGTCCACAAGTCATAAAAGGGCCAAGTTTGAAGACCCTTGCCCTAGACCCATTTCAGACAAGTGGCTATCCAGTCTCTTCTTAAAAACCTACAGTGTTGGAGCATTCACAACTTATGGAGGCAGATGGTTCCACTGATTAACTGTTCTATTGTCTGTGGTGAATTGATTCACGGACCCCCTTTAAATACCTTTTGTGGCCCCGGACCCCCAAGACTTAACTCAAGATTTAAATCTAACATGTCTCCCAGCTTTCACCTATCCCTGTGACAATATCGTGCTCCCCCCCAGGGGTCCACCCTAGCTGGGTGACTTTGGGCCAATCACCAGGAGACGGTGAGTTCTAGTCCTACCTTAGGCATGAAAACCAGCTCAACTCACCTTGTTGTTGTTGCTGCTGTCGGAAAAATAGGAAGAGGAAGTTGTGTTGGATATGCTCGTTGCCTTGAATTATTTGTAAAGAATAATAAAGGCAGGATATAAATAAAATAAAATAGGATAGAATTAATACCCTGCAGCATATTTTCTTAACGTTCATCATGGTAAAGACATTGGCATGCTGTAGAAGCCACAATGATATTGTGGGCATGGTGTCATTAGGCAAATGAAGCAGTTAGATGACCTCCAAGGTTCCTTCCAACATTATCAAGGAGAGAAGCAACCTAGAACTAAGGAGAATCTTCTTGACAGAACAATTAACCAGTGGAACCACCTGCCTCCAGAAGTGGTGAATGCTCCAACACTGAAAGTCTTTAAGAAGAGACTGGACAGCCATTTGTCTGAAATGGTATAGGGTTTCCTGCCTGAGCAGGGGGTTGGACTAGATGACCTCCAAGGTCCCTTCCAACTTTATTATGATGATGATGATGATGATGATGATGATGATGATGATGATGATGATGATGATGTCAATGGGGGGAAGCCAGATTCACTTAACAACGGTGTTACTAAGTGAAGAACTGCAGTGATTCGCTTAACAAATGCAGCAAGAAAAGTCGTAAAACGGGGCAAAACTCACTTAACCATTTTTCTCACTTAGCAACGGAAATTTTGGGCTCAGTTGTGGTCGTAAGCTGAGGACTACCTGTATATCTTTGTGCCTAGGAACCATGGGATGTTTTTTTCCCTTTAAAAAAAAAAAAAAAAAAAGCTGAGATTGACAAGGAGACCGAAATCTGCGCCTGATTAAATCCTAAACCAGTGATGGCGAACCTTTTAGAGACCGAGTGCCCAAACTGCAACCCAAAACCCACTTATACATTGTCGAGTGCCGGGTGGGCGTGGCCCATTGGGTGGGTGTGGCCCATTGGGTGGGAGTGGCCCATTGGGTGGGCGTGGCTGAGGTGGTAACGGCAGACTGGGTGGCACTGAAAAGTTCAATCAATCAATTTCAACTTTGCAAGATTTTTTTTTTCCCCGCGAGAAGTTGGAATTGACTGATTGAATCTTTTTTTTTTTTTTTTTTTTGCACACAGCGGCGGAGGCCTAAAGCAAAAAGGTTTTATAAAACCCAGCTGAAGGCCTAGGACTGGGGCGACGGCCCGCGTGCCCACAGAGAGGGCTCTGAGTGCCGCCTCTGGTACCCGTGCCATAGGTTCACCACCACTGTCCTAAACTTTCAAACAGAACAATTTGAAGCCCAGTACCCAGTGTATATTACAAAAGAGAATAGCAGGTTTTCAATTTCTGCTTTTCTTTTTTTTCTTTTCTTTTTCTTCTGGTTGTCAATAAGCCGGAGAGGATATTGCTTTGCTTATTGCCTTATTAAGTTTTCACCTTTCGTACGACGCTCTGATGCTCTTCTGGGGAATTATATATCCTGCAAATCATAACCTCAGCTGCAGTTTGGATATTTGAAAAAATGTTGGGCAAGCAGCACACCGAGATCGGAGAAAGTTGGGAAGGATGAAATGTGTGGAGACAAGGATAGGGAAGAAAGCTCTGAATTATTGTTTAGCCCAGATAACATAGACGATGGATTTGAGACAATAAAGGATACTCCGTTAGTAAGGGGTGATGTACTAGGATGAGAAATAGAAAATATCTATGAAATAAAATATATCTAAGTAAGTAAGAGGTGTATTTTAGATAGTATAAGTTTTATGTTGTGAAATAAAGGAAATTTGGGTTACCCGAAATTTAAAGACTATGGATATTAAAAGTTAAATTGGAATACTGTAATTAAAAATTAGGTAAAATTTAAATACAGGGCATGGATATGTATAGGCATAAATATATTGATAAATGTTTTAACTTGAGCTTGTTATAATTACAAATTTACTAGCTTAAATATGATATAGCAGATGTTAAGGGAAATAAAGAAGGAACTTTTTGATGATGTAACCTGGGATATGAACTAAGGATTTTGTTATTGTACTATTGACTACCCAATCACCACGCTGCTTTGTAAATACTTAAATGGAAAACTGGAAAACCAATAAAAACTTGTTATTAAAAAAAAAAAGAATAGGGAAGAAAACCGTTCAACATTTAGCAAATGAAAACCAGAAGATCCAGCACTTCGCTTTCCATATTGAGTCTCGCTGTCGTAAGCACCCTTGGCTGCCCTGGCTAGTTGCTGCCACCGTAATTCCCTTTAATTCTAATTCAGCCAGTCGGGACTGGAGCAGGAACGAAGTGTTTGTGTTGGGAGTGTTGTTGTTTCTTTAATAAATGCATTAGCAAGTCTAATGTTTGCAAAAAGTCTAGCAGGTTTCAAGGGAAAGATTGAGGGAGCGATGCAACTCTGCAACTACAGCGACAAAAGTTAAAAAAAATTAATAATAATAAAGCATGAATTAAGTACGACTTCTGTGCCTTTGGCATAACTGCAAAACCCAGAAAGTTGAGGCCTAGGTGCTCTCTGAGCTTGCTGGTTTGCTTGTCGATGTTTCGCTACCAGACTAAGTAATGTCATTAGTGCTGGTGGATGTGGGGTTTGCTGCTCGCACTGCCGATGTCGCTCTGTTCTGATGGATTGAAGTCTTACCCTGTTTCTCCCTCCAGCTTCACAGCTGCTGATGTTTGGGACCTACTTCGCCGTGGTCCTTGGGGTGTACCTGGTGCCCCTCACCATCTCCTCCCCTTGCCTCATGGAAAGGAAGGACCTGGGGCCCAGACCGGCCCTCCTTGGCCACCGGGGAGCCCCCATGGTAGGTAGGCCTCGTTTCATTCCCTTCACACACACAGACCCCGCACCCCAGCTTTAAGCACAGATTATGGAACAGCCTGTTTGGCCACGTATTGTTACATGTTAGTGTGATTATATACTATTATATTATAGTATATACTATCATATACTACACTATTATATACTATCATACTATATTATATATTCATATACTATCATATACTATACTATTATATATATTATATACTATACTATATATATACTATCATATACTATACTATTATATACTATCATATACTATACTATTATATACTATCATATACTATACTATATATATACTATCATATACTATACTATATATACACTATCATATACTATACTATTATATACTATTATATACTATCATACTATATTATATACTCATACTATTATACTATACTATTATATATACTATCATATACTACACTATTGTATACTATCATATACTATATTATATACTCATACTATCATATACTATACTATTATATATACTATCATATACTACACTATTATATGCTATTATATACTATATTTTATATACTATCATATACTGTACTATTATATACTATCATATACTATACTATTATATATACTATCATATACTACACTATTATATACTATCATATACTATATTATATACTCATACTATCATATACTATACTATTATATATACTATCATATACTATCATAGTATACTATTATATACTATCATACCATACTATTATATACTATTATATACTATCATATACTATATTATATATACTATCATATACTATATTATATGTACTATCATATACTATATTATTATATACTATCATATACTACACTATTATATACTATTATATATAATATTATATACCAGTGATGGCAAACCTTTTAGAGATCGAGTGCCCAAACCCCGCCCCTGCCTCTCCGCCCACCCTCACTCTGTGCCCCGCCCACCTGCAGGGCCACCCACCGCCTCTACAGCCCGCTGCAGCAGATCATCCAGGCAGCCCAGCAGTGCCATGGCAGCCACACCCTCCACCAACATGCCACAGCAACATCTGCGTGTGACATGGTGCAAGGGCGGAGTCTTGTCCCTGCTGCCCAGCTACCATGTGCTTGGCTGCGCTGCTCTGCGCAGACCGCACTCGGTGACTCTCCGGGAGGCTGCTGGTGAGAGGGTCATGGGGGGAGGCAGGGCTGGGGTGACGGCGCACGTGCCCACAGAGAAGGCTGAGTGCCACCTGTGGCATGTGTGCCATAGGTTCGCCACCACTGTCATATACTATACTATTATATACTATATACTATTATATACTATCATATACTATACTATTATATACTATCATATACTATAACTATACTATTATATACTAGTACAGTGGTGGCAAACCTATGGCACGGGTGCCAGAGGTGGTACTGAGAGCCTTCTCTGTGGGGACGTGTGCCGTCACCCCAGCCCTGCCTCCTCCCATGGCCCCCTCCTCATCAGCAGCCCCCCCGGAGGAGAGTCGCCCCTGTGCACAGCCCACATGAAGCAGCGCAGCCAAGCACATGGTAGCTGGGCAGCAGGGACAAGATTCCATCCTTGCACCCCGTTGCACGCAGATGATGCTGCGGGGCACGGGTGGAGGGCATGGCCACCATGATGATGCTGGACTGCCTGGGTGGTCTGTGGCAGGCTGTGAAGGTGGTGGTGTCCCAGTGGGCAGGACAAAGTGGGGACGGGAGAGGCAGTTTTTGGGCACTCGGTCTCTAAAAGGTTCGCCGTCACTGTACTAGTGTATATACTTATAGTATTATATACTATCATACTGTACTAGTATATACTATTATATACTATCATATACTATACTATCATATTCTATACTATTATATACTATCATATATTATACTATCATACTATACTATTATATGATATTATATATACTATCATATACTATACTAGTATATACTATGCTATACTATCATATACTATACTATTATATACTATCATATACTATAACTACTATTATATACTAGTATACTATTATATACTATCATATATTATTAGTATATACCATTATATACTATGTTATACTATACTATACACTATTATATATTATCATATTATATACTAATACTATACTATACAATATACTATACTATACTATACTATACTATACTATACTATATACTGTACTATATACTACACTACACTACACTACACTATAACCCAGTGCTTCTCAATTATTTTCTGTCATGCCCCCCTAGGAAGAAGAAAACATTTCGCGCCCCCCCGCACGACTGTCTATCCAATCGGGTCCTTTGCGTGTGTCACGTGCATCCAATATGACAGTATTTGCCGAGGTCAAACGAGCCCCCCTTTACGGAGCCTCGCGCCCCCCCTGGGGGGCCCGCCCCACTATTTGAGAAGCACTGCTATAACCCAATGGTGGGATTCAGCTGGTTCGCCCCACTTCGGCAGAACCGGTAGCTAATTTTTTGTTGCCCAGGCCCAGAATGGACTTCTGGAAGCGGCATCCACGCAGAGAACCGGTTGTTCACAGATTTGAATCCTACCACTGCTATTACCACTATACTATACTATACAGTATTGGTATTAGTATTAATATTAATAAAGTATAGTGTGCTTTAATATTGATAATAAATTAATACGTTCATGTTACTTTATCAAAATATAAAATACAAAGAAAAATGGAAAATAATGGCTAAAAAGGGGAAGAGGAAAGAGTGTAAAGGAGAAACGAAAAGGCAAAACATTCCGACTCGTTTGGGCGCCGTAGAATAAGGCAATGACATGCAAGCTGGTTAAGATATTGAAATTGAGGAACTGGAGCAGTGAGGTTGTGCAAGTTCTGGCAGTCAACCAGAACACACACACACACACACACACACACACACACACACACACACACACAATTGATTGGTTGGAGTGTGTGCTGACCCAAAGGGGATAGTTAGAGACGATAAGCAGACAGACAGATAAACAGATAGATAAGTGGAAAACCATCGTTAAGTCACTTTTTTCAGTGCCGTTGTAACTTCAAATGGTCACTAAATGAACTGTTGTAAGTTGAGGACTAAGTGTAATGGCACAATGGACACTTTGAGAAATTAAAAGGGACTAGGAGCTGATCAGAGGCCCAGTAACCAGCCTCCCTCCGTCTCCCCGATTTACAACTCAGCTCCTTCTGTTGGGGTTTCCAATTAAATCAGTGGTTCTCAACCTTTTTAATGCCGCGACCTCCAACCGGTCGTAAGTTGAGGACTACTCAACCGGTCGTAAGTCAAGGACTACTCAACTGGTGCAGCACCGTTTGCAGAACCACTGAATTAAATCAGTGTTTCCCAAACTTGACAATTTTAAGGCATGAGGACTTCAACTCCCAGAATTCCACAGCCAGCAACGCTGGCTGTGGAATTCTGGGAGTTGAAGTCCACATGCCTTAAAATTGTCAAGTTTGGGAAACACTGAATTAAATGATGCTAATCTTGTCCCTTTGCAGTGAACTTTTAACGGGGCTGACTTAAATCAGACATGGCACACTGCAGGCTTCAAAGGGCCCTCCGGACTTTTTTCTCCATTCATTTCATCCAAATTCCTTTTAATGGATTTTTTTTTAATTGAAATTTTTATAAACTTTTTACAATAAAATCCCTCCCCCCCCTCCCTCCCTCCCTCCCCCCCTTAACCCTCCCCCCCCTTCCCAGAGCTGAATACAGAGCTAAAAAAAAAACAGGAAAAAAAACAAACATAAAAATTAAATAAACGTCAATCAACTATACATAAATCCTAAAAAATTAAGAAAACACTTTAACTCCAATACAATAAAATCAGCGAATCTGACCATAACAACTTTACACTATAAGTTATTCAAAAGCTAAATAATGCTTTCTAATCCCATATTTATTCTGAACAAAATTTACCCATCTTTTCCACACAGAGTTATATCTCTCTTGTGAATGGCCTTTCAGATAAGCCGAATTTTTCTTTTAATGGATTTTTTTTTTTTTAAAGGCATTTTTGCTGCTTAGGGCAAAGGAAAATGAGTGCGATGCTCAGCCTGCGTTTAATTTACGGTAATCGTTCCAAATTTAGGAGATACCTTTTATTTTATTTTTTTCACGTTGGCAGTGAAAAAAAAATCCTAATTATTTTTTTCTTACTATGGTAGGTAGGTAGGTATCCGTTCTTGTGTGTGTGTATGTATGTGTAAACTCATACACACACACACATTGCAACCAGATTTAAAGTAAATATAATTTATTTTCTCTGTTTTTTTCTCTAGTTAGCACCTGAAAATACACTGATGTCCTTCCAGAAAGCAATGGAAGAAAAGGTCTACGGTGTGCAGGCAGACGTGGTGATAAGGCAAGTCTTTCTGCTTGTTCGCAAGGTTAACAGGTGTGGTCTGTGTGTGTGTGGGGGGTGTCCCCAAATTTTGCAACTTTAAGATGTGTGGACTTCAACTCCCAGAATTCTGGGACTTGAAGTCCACAAGACTTAAAGTTGCCAAGGTTGGAGACCTTGGTTTAAGAAGATGCTTTGCCTGTTTTTGGTCTCCAAATTCCCTGCCCTGGTTTACATTTCTAGTTCTGTGCAGCCATTCAGCTCCCAAGAGCAGAGATTCACAGTGGATCTTATCAGATAATAATAATAATAGTAATAATAATAACAACAACAACAACGATATCTGTAATACCATCAAACATCCACATCTGCCTATCCCAGGTCCTGGGTAAGGACTCGATAGGTAGACAAAATGCAAAATCCAGTCTGAACATCTGGCTGACTGTGCGATGATCAATAATAATAATAATAATAGTAATAATAATAGTAATAATAATAATAATAAGTAGTAGTAGTAGTAGTAGTAGTAGTAGTAGTAGTAGTTGTTGGAAGGGACCTTGGAGGTCATCAAGCCCAACCCCCTGCTCAGGCAGTTAACCCTATACCATTTCGGACAAATGGCTGTCCAGTTTCTTCTTAAAAATTTCCAGCATTGGAGCATTCACCGCTTCTGGAGGCAGGTTGTTCCACTGGTTAATTGTTCTCACTGTCAGGAAGTTTCTCCTTAGTTCCAGGTTGCTCCTCTCCTTGATTCATTTCCATCCGTTGCTTCTTCTCCTGCCTTCAGGCACTTTGGAGAACGGCTTGACTCCCTCTTCTTTGGGGCAGCCCCTGAGATATTGGAAGACTGCTATCCTGTCCCCCCTCGTCCTTCTCTTCATTAAACTAGACATACCCAATTCCACCAACCGTTCCTTATATGTTTTAGCCTCCAGTCCCCTAATCCTCTTTGTTGCTTTTCTCTGTACTCTTTCTAGAATCTCAACAACTTTTTTACATCATGGTGACCAAAATTGGATGCAGTATTCCAAGTGTGGCCTTACCCAGGCATTGTAATGTGGTATTAACACGTCACGTGATCTTGTATTTACAGTCAATAAAGTAAGGGGTTAAGAGAGCGAATTTTGGAAATTGGAAGACCCTCAACCTCTAGCAATCATTTATTGGTGAATTCATCACAAGGGGAAGCCCTAAGAGTTATTTGAAACTTTTTTTCCTACAGTGCAGAACCAGAAAAACACTTCCAGACTAACGTCATCATAAAAACCATCTGCTTGTTGAAAAAAAGATATTTTGAGATATTATCCACCCCAGATCTTTTTGCACCTGCCTACTATAACAGAGTCTGTCAGTCTGTGTGACTGACCTGATTTTACCACTTTTTTTTTTTTTTTTGGTCACAGTGGTTAAGTGGACTCTGTGGTCATTAAGAAAACACTGCAGTTGTTGCTCCTTTCTCACCTAGTCAATCTATTATTAACATGATTATTTTGAAATTTAAAAAAGCAAAGAAAACTTGACCAACAAAATCCACTGACTAAGCCAGGGCTTTTCAACCAGGGGTACGGGTACCACCTGTGGTACATTGGCACCTGGCAGGTGGTACGCGACCATCCTAGAAAAGGGGTAGCAGGGGAGGGGAATGAGCTAAACCGGTGGCAGCACTGCACAAGCCTGAGCGAGAGACGGCTGGAGCTGCAGGGCTGTCAGGGCTCAGCGGGAGCGCCAGGATCAGTGCTGCTTTCCAGCTGATCAGCGCTTCTCCGGGGCTGTCAGGGCTCAGTGGAAGCACCAGGATCAGCGCTCGGCGCTGATCCTGGTGCTTCTGCTGAGCCCAGAAGAAGCGTCGATCAGCTGGAATGTTGCAGCCTCTCCAGGGTCTTGTGATTTACATTCAGATGCTTGGCAACCGATTCATATTTATGACGGTCACAGTGTCCCAGGGTCATATGAAGTGACCAAAACCTGCTGCAACCATCCAGCAGACGGGGGAGGGGGATAAAAACCAAACACCCCCCCACCCCACCCTTGCTGCCAATCCCCAACAGAAGTGCTCACAACAATGAAAACCTCGGACAGGAGGAAGAGCGCGGCCAGGCGGGCAGGCAGGTGTCTTGCTCGGCTGTGGCTTGGGGGGCACTTTTTTCAGGGCCATTGTAACTTCAAACAGCCACTGTTGTAAGTCGAGGACTACCTGTACTTTATCACTTTTTTCCTTTTTGGGGGGGGGGGGAATCACCAAGTTTTTGACACTTTGCTAGGCGACTGGTGGTCCTCGGATGTTGCCGTATCTTAAAAGTGGTACAATGGGTGAAAAGGTTGAAAAGCCCTGGACTAAGCTAAGAAAAACAGATTTTTTTTAAAAAAAAAATGGCACTATTCCGCCATCTAATGGTAGTCCCTCTGATTATTAAATCTTGTGACCAAACTAAATAAAACAACAACAAAAGAAATACCCAGTCCGCCATCTTTTTATACTTACCCAAATCTGAATTTTGCAGTGATTAAAAAAGAAGGCTACAAACGGGCACATTATTGGAAAGGGGTCGCAAGCGTGGCTACGATAATATGCCGTGCTGTGTCGGACCTGCTGCAATTTGATCAAAGACCCCCGGCTCCACTTGGTTAAAGGAAAGGATTCTTCTACTATGTCTAGTTTAATGAGGGTATGCCGGTCCTCGCTTAATGAAGAGAAGGACTTGGGTTTGGCTAGTCTAAAGAAAAGAAGAAACGGGGGGAGACATGATAGCAGCGTTTCAGTATCTCAGGGGCTGCCCCAAAGAAGAGGGAGTCAAGCTATTCTCCAAAGCTCCTGAAGGCAGGACAAGAAGCAACGGTTGGAAACTAATCAAGGAGAGAAGCAACCTGGAATTAAGGAGAAACTTCCTGACAGTGAGGACAATTAACCAGTGGAATAGCTGGCCTCCAGAAATCGTGGGCGCTTCATCACGGGAGATTTTTAAGAAGAGACTAGGCCTGGGGTAGGCAACCTTGGCCCCTTCATGACTCGTGGACTTCAACTCCCAGAATTCCTCAGCCAGCATGGGGGAACTATGGCCCCTTCATGACTCGTGGACTTCAACTCCCAGAATTCCTCAGCCAGCATGGGGGAACTATGGCCCCTTCATGACTTGTGGACTTCAACTCCCAGAATTCCTCAGCCAGCATGGCTCAGCTTGGAAACCATGGTCCCTTCATGACTTGTGGACTTCAATTCCCAGAATTCCTGAGCCAGCATGGGGGAACCATTGCCCCTTCACGACTTGTGGACTTCAATTCCCAAAATTCCTGAGCCAGCATGGGGGAACTATGGTCCCCTTCACGACTCGTGGATTTCAACTCCCAGAATTCCTGAGCCAGCATGGGGGAACTATGGCCCCTTCATGACTCGTGGACTTCAACTCCCAGAATTCCTGAGCCAACATGGGGAAACTATGGCTCCTTCATGATTTGTGGACCAACTCCCAGAATTCCTCAGTCAGCATGGGGGAAACTTTGGCCCCTTCATGACTCGTGGACTGCAACTCCCAGAATTCCTCAGCATGGCTCAGCTTGGAAACCTCTCCCTTTCCCCTCAACATGGCTGGCTCAGGAATTCTGGGAATTGAAGTCCACGAGTCATAAAAGAGCCGAGGTTGCCTACCCCTGGGCTAGACAGTCACTTGTCTGAGATGATACAGGTTTTCTCGCTTGAGCAGGGGGCTGGATTAGAAGACCTCCAAGGTCCCTTCCAGCTCTATTCTGTATATCTGACCCAGCGGGATAATTATTATTATATTCTTGTGTTCTTCTGTTCACAGTTACGACGGAGTGCCTTTTCTTATGCATGATCAGACTTTGCGAAGAACGACCAACGTCGAGGAAGTATTCCCAGAACTAGCTTACGATCATTCCTCCACCTTCAACTGGACAGATCTGGAAAGGCTAAATGCAGGCAAATGGTTCCTCAAGGTGTGTAAGTAAGTAGTAATATTATGTCCAGCGGTGGTTGACACCCCCTCAGAAGGGATGTAGTGAAGCTAGAGAAGGTTTGTAGGACCACAACTGAGATGGGGTGCGTGGGCGGCAAACAGCCAAAACAAAACAGCCAACAGTGTGCTGCAGCAGCCAAAAAAGCTAATACACTACCGTGCTAGGTTGCATTAACAGAGGGATAGAATCAAGATCACGGGAAGTAATAGTACCGCTTTGTAAAGCCTTACTAAGAGCACACTAGGAATACTGCATCCAGTTTTGGTTACCCCAATACAAAATCAGATGCTGAGATTTTGGAAAGAGTGCAGAGAAGAGCAGCAAAGAGGATTAGGGGACTGGAGGCTAAAACATACAAAGAATGGTTGCTGGAATTGAGTAGGTCTCGTTAAATTAAGGACTAGTGGTGACATGATAGCAATCTTCCAATATTTGAGGGGCTGCCACGAAGAAGAAGGATTCAACCTATTCTCCAAAGCACCTGAAGGCAGGACAAGAAGAAATAGACAGAAATGAATCCAGGTGAGAATCAACCTAGAAATAAGAAGAAATTTCCTGACAGTTAGAACAACTAACCAGTGGAACTCCTTGCTTCCAGAAGTTGTGGGTGCTCCATCACTGGCGATTTTTAAGAAGAGACTGCACAGGCATTTGTCAGAAATAATATAAGTCTCCTGCATGAGCAGGGGTTGGACTAGATGACCTCCACGGTCCCTCCAAACTCTGTTATACTGTTACTAGTTCAGGGGCTGCAACAGCTTCCCTATGAATAAAAATTGCAATATTTGGGCTTCCCCCCTCCCTTTAATTCAAGCAGGATGGCAAATTTGCAGGGATCTAATGGAGATCTTCAGAATTATGCATGGTTTTTCATAAAAATGGACAGGGGGAAGCTGTTTTTTTTTTTTTTTTTTTTTTTTTTTTTTTTTTTTTTTTTTTTTTTGGTTTCCCAAATTCTAGAACCAGACGTCAAATCATGAAATTGAATGTTGGAAAAAACGAGGGCAGATAACAGGAAACATGTTTTTTCTTTTCTTTACCCAATGTATAATTCAACTTTGGAGTTTGCTAATTACTTGGCTGTCCCAAAGGTTTTTTTTTTTGTTTTGTTTTTGTTTTTTGTTTTTTACAAAAGGCAACTGGACTTCCTTGGGTTGTTTTTTTTTCCCCTTTGAAAAAATACTGAAGAACTGAAGAAGCTTCTTGGATGAGCAGGGAAACACTTTCCAAGGAAAAGAAACAAGAAAGTCTAGTTTAATGAAGAGAAGGCCGAGGGGGGACATGATAGCAGCGTTCTAGTATCTCAGGGGTTGCCCCAAAGAAGAGGGAGTCAAGCTATTCTCCAAAGCAACTAAAGGCAGGACAAGAAGCAACAGATGGAAACTCATCAAGGAGAGAAGCAACCTAGAACTAAGGAGAAACTTCCTGACAGTGAGAACAATTAACCAGTGGAACCACCTGCCTCCAGAAGCGGTCAATGCTCTAACACTGGAAATTTTTAAGAAAAAACTGGACAGCCATTTGTCTGAAATGGTACAGGGTTTCCTGCCTGAGCAGGGGGTTGGACTAGATGACCTCCAAGGCCCCTTCCAACTTTATTATTATTATTATTAAAAGATACACAAACGTTTGCCCGCAGCCCATCCCTTCCCGCATGACCAGTCCGTTTCCAGGCCCAGTTGCCTTTTGGAAAAAAAAAAAAATCACCTTTGGGGCAACCATGATCTGGATGACGTTTGTCCAGCTGATTTTGTCAAATCCTACCTGCCGCCTTGAAAGTGCGACGTTCGCCGTTCTTTCCACAGAATGACCCCTTCTGGACAGTCAGCTCCCTTTCCCCGTCTGACTTCGTCAAAGCCGCCAATCAGTCGGTCTGCAGACTGACCGAGATGCTAGAGATGGTCAAGGGCAACGCCACCGTCCTCTTGAACCTTCGAAGCCTGCCCGAAGACCACCCTTACTTCCGCACTTCGGTCAACGTCACCCTGGAAGCCATCCTTGCCTCGGGCATCCCTCAGCAGGCTGTGAGTTGCACGGGACTTTTGTGGGTAGCACCCAAGCAGTAGCACTTAGACTTACGGACCACTTCACCGCCCTCTCTAAGCGGTTTATAGCGTCAGCATCTCTGGGTCCTCATTTTAGCGACCTCGGAAGGACAGAAGGCTGAGTCAACTGTGAGCCGGTCAGGATCGAACTGCATACTGTGGGCAGAGTTTGCCTGCAATGCTGCATTCTAATCATTGTGTCACTATGTCTCCTTCCTTCCTTCCTTCCTTCCTTCCTTCCTTCCTTCCTTCCTTCCTTCCTTCCTTCCTTCCTTCCCTCCCTCCTTTCTTCCCTCCTTCCCTTCCTTCCTTTCCTCCCTCCCTCCCTCCCTTATTCCTTCCTTCCCTCCCTCTTTCCCTTCCTTCCCTCCATCCTTTCCTTCCTTCCCTCCTTCCTTCCTTTCCTCCCTCCCTCCTTTCCTTATTCCTTCCTTCCTTCCCTCCCTCTTTCCCTTCCTTCCCTCCATCCTTTCCTTCCTTCCCTCCTTCCTTCCTTTCCTCCCTCCCTCCCTCCCTTATTCCTTCCTTCCTTCCCTTCCTTCCTTCCTTCCTTCCTTTCCCTTCCCTTCCCTTCCTTCCTTTCCTCCCTCCCTCCTTTCCTTCCTTCCTTCCTTCCTTCCTTCCTTCCTTCCTTCCTTCCTTCCTTCCTCCTCTCCTTCCTTCCCTCCATCCTTCCTTCCCTCCCTCCTTTCCTCCCTCCATCCTTCCTTCCTTTCCTCCCTCCCTCCCTCCCTTATTCCTTCCTTCCCTCCCTCCCTCTTTCCCTTCCTTCCCTCCATCCTTTCCTTCCTTCCCTTCTTCCTTCCTTTCCTCCCTCTCTCCTTTCCTTCCTCCTTCCTTCCTTTCCTCCCTCCTTCCCTCCCTCCTTCCTTCATTCCCTCCCTCCTTTCCTCCCTCCATCCTTCCTTCCTTTCCTCCCTCCCTCCCTCCTTTATTCCTTCCTTCCCTCCCTCTTTCCCTTCCTTCCCTCCATCCTTTCCTTCCTTCCTTCCCTCCTTCCTTCCTTCCCTCCCTCCTTTCTTCCTTCCTTCCCTCCCTTCCTCCTTCCTTCCCTCCCTCCTTCCTTCATTCTCTCCCTCCTTTCCTCCTTCCCTTCCTTCCTTTCCTCCCTCCCTCCCTCCTTATTCCTTCCTCCCTCCCTTCCCCTTCCTTCCCTCCATCCTTTCCTTCCTTCCTTCCTTCCTTCCTTCCTTCCTTCCCTCCCTCCCTCCTTTCTTCCTTCCTTCCCTCCCTCCCTCCCTCCCTCCTTCCTTCCTACCTAACTACCTACCTACTTAGGAATAGCACTTAAACTTATATACCACTTCACAGTCTTCTCTAAGCCCTTTAGAGAGTCAGTATATTGCCCCCAACAAACTGGGTCCTCTTTTTACTGTCCTCGGAAAGCTAGAAGGCTGAGTCCACCTTGAGCCGGTCAGGATCGAACTCCAGACTGTGGGCAGAGTTAGCAATAACTGTAGCGCTCAGATTTATACACCACTTCACCGCCCTTTCTAAGCGGTTTATCGAGTCAGCATATTTGCCCTCAACAATCTGGGTTTTCATTTTACAGGCCTCGGAAGGCTGAGCTAGTCAGGATTGAACTGGCAGTGAGCAGAGTTTGCCTGCAATACTGCATTCTAACCACTGCGCCACCACGGCTCTGCCGAGTAGCTGCCGGACAGACTTTGGGGCTCCTGCCTCAGTGCCAGCAAAAATTACACCAAAAATGTAAAGCGGAATGGGGTTTATAGCGAGCAACTCGGCTACAACAGACCCACAAGAACGACGAGAGTTGTAGGACAATCCTGGGAAGAACCGGCCCTCCAAAAGCGTTTCGCTTTGCTCTCGATTCATTTAATGACCGGAATAAATACAGGTAGCCCTCGACTTAACAACCACAACTGACCCCAAAATTGCCATTGCTAAGCGTGACAACTGTGAAGTGAGTTTTGGCCCCGTTTAGAATCTTGCTTGCCACAGTTGTTAAGTTGGTCACACACGGTTGTTAAGTGAATCCGGCTTCCCCATTGCCTTTGCTTGAAAGGAAGGTGGCAGAAGGTGATCAGTTAACGATGCCACCGTCATAAGTACCTGCCAGTTGCCAAGCATCTTACATTTTGATCACCTGACCCTGGGGATGCTGCAAAGGGCCTAAGGGTGGAAAACAGTCATAAGCCACTTTTTTCCCCAGCGCCCTTGTAACTTTGGAGAGTCGCTAAACCAGGGGTTCTCAACCTTTTTAATGCTGCGACCCCCCAACCGGTCGTAAGTCAAGGACTAGCAAACCGGTCGCAAGTCAAGGACTACCCAACCGGTCGTAAGTCGACGACTTTCCCTGCCCGGGAGCGCCGCGCATGCGTGGTGCCGCCCCCTGCGCCAGCCGAGGCGTAGCTGGCAAGTGGCAGAGACGGCGCAGGCCGAACACCGGCTGGGCCACCCGCTGGCCCAGCCCAAGGGAGGTAAGGCACCCGCCGGGTCCCACGTGCGCCAGCAACTCTCCCTGCGCCCGCCGGCCTCCCACCTCCCACCCCTGGCCCTCTTTTCCTTACATTTTTGGTAGTTGCTCAGCAGGGAGAGGTGGAAGCTTCCAGACAGCTCGCCTTCGCTGCAGACAACTTGCAGCACCGTTTGCAGAATGGGACTTTTGGCGGGCTCAGCAGGGCAGAGACAGCCTGGACAATTCCTATTGGCTTTTGAAAGCCAATAGAATTATACTCTATTCAAGAGAGTCTATTCTATTGGCTTTCAAAAGCCAATGGAATAAAAGGGAGTAGCACAGCTAAGGAAAAGGGGGAAAAAAATGGCGGACTGCGTTGTTTGGCGACCCCCGTGAAATGGTCGTTCGACCCCAAATGGGGTCCCAACCCACAGGGTTGAGAACCGCTGCGCTAAACGATGGGTTGTAAGTCAAGGATTACCTGCACTCACTTGGTTTGTCTGGCTCATGTGGGTTAAGTGTACCCACCTACATTTTCACGCTTCTATCTAAGGCAGTGGTTCTCAACCTGTGGGTCGGGACCCCATTTGGGGTTGAACGGCCATTTCACGGGGGTCGCCAAACAATGCAGCCCGCCATTTCCCCCCCCCCCTTTTCCTTAGCTGTGCTACTCCCTTTTATTCTATTGGCTTTTGAAAGCCAATAGAAGAGACTCTCTTGAATAGAGTCTAATTCTATTGGCTTTCCAAAGCTAATAGGAATTGTCCAGGCTGTCTCTGCCCTGCTGAGCCCGCCAAAAGTCCCCTTCTGCAAACGGTGCTGCACCAGTTGAGTAGTCCTCGACTTACGACTGGTTGAATAGTGCTCGACTTATGACCGGTTGGGGGTCGCGGCATTAAAAAGGTTGAGAACCACTGAGCTAAGGCATCGGCACGTGTTTGGAGTTACTTCGGACTCTGGTGAGCTATTGTAACTCCGATTGCTCCAAAGCATCTCCTGTTACTTCTGAGAATGGCCCCCTTTGAGGTTGTCAACTCCTCCTTTCTCCCTGCTGCTCTTCCAGGTGATGTGGTTGCCCAGTCTGGACAGGCAGCTGGTTCGAGAAGCCGCCCCCGGATTCCAACAGACCTGTGGGCAGAAGACAGATGCCCAGCGGTTGAGAGACCAAGGTTTCCAGATGCTCAACCTGAGATACACCAAGGTCACCAGCCAGGATATCAGGTTCGCTTCGCAGCTCGCTGATCCGATCCTTTGGCCTGTTTTTCAGAGGCAGTGCCTGATGGGCAACGCCATCTTTCCGAAGGGTACCCCTTCTTCTCACTTACGGCCCCGGTTGCTCGCTCTTGGTGCTTGCGCTTCTGAAGATGTTCCCTCTCCCTCTGGTTTTTTTAATGTTCCCCTCTGTCAGCGCTGCTAACACTGGATGTTCTTGCTTTGACAAAATATGAAGAGGTGGCCACTCTCTGTAGAAGCTGTGTGGTATTTTTAAGAGTTAAATTAGATCAGGGCTTTTCAACCAGGGGTACGGGTACCACCTGTGGTCCATTGGCACCTGGCAGGGGGTACGCGACCATCCTAGAAAAGGGGTAGCAGGGGAGGGGAATGAGCTGAACCGGTGGCAACACCGCACAGGCCTGAGCGAGAGACGGCTGGAGCTGCAGGGCTGTCAGGGCTCAGCGGAAGCGCCAGGATCAGCGCCAGGATCCAGCTGGAGCTCGGCACTGATCCTGGCGCTTATGCTGAGCCCTGAAGAAGCCTCGATCAGCTGGAAAGCAACATTGATCCTGGCGCTTCTGCTGAGCCCAGAAGAAGCGCCGATCAGCTGGAATGTTGCAGCCTCTCCAGAGTCTTGTGATTTACATTCAGATGCTTGGCCACTGATTCATATTTATGACGGTCACAGTGTCCCAGGGTCATGTGAAGGGACCAAAACCTGCTGCAACCACCCAGCAGACGGGGGGAATGGATAAAAACCAAACACCCCCCCCATCGCACCCCTGCTACCAATCCTCAACAGAAATGCTCACAACAATGAAAACCTTGGACAGGAGGAAGAGCACCACCGGGCAGGCAGGCAGGTGTCTTGCTTGTCTGTGGCTTGGGGGGCACTTTTTTCAGTGCCATTGTAACTTCGACCAGTCACTAAGCAAACTGTTGTAAGTCAAGAACTACCTGTATTTCATCAGTGTTTTCCTTTTTTGGGGGGGTGTCATCAAGTTTTTGACACCTTACTAGGCGACTGGTGGTACTCGGATATTGCCATATCTTAAAAGTGGTACAGTGGGTGAAAAGGTTGAAAAGCCCTGAATTAGATGATGCTGGGGGGGGGAGGAAAAAGAATTTGTGTGGGGATTAGTTAAGATAAGAAACCGCAGGCTACAGAAGATCGGCAAAAACTTTGGGATAGAAATACTAAACTTAACTAAAGCAGCCTGATATAAAGAAAACTTATATAAAGTGTTTTATAGATGGCATATGACACCAGTTAGATTAGCGAAAATGTTTAAAAACGTATCGAACATTTGCTGGAAATGTAAACAAAAAACCAGGTACCTACTACCAGGCCCTGGTGGACACGCCCTAAGGCAAAGAAATTTTAGGATCCATCGATGGCTGGAAAAAAATGACTAAAATACAAATAGACTTTAAGCCCGAATTGTTTTTGTTAGGATTATCGGGGACTAATTATGGAAAAGAAAATGAATATTTAATACAACATGTATTGACGGTGGCGAGAATAGTATTGGCCCAATTTTGGGAAAAGTGAAGATTTACCGTCTGATCAGACTATAATTACTAAAATTTTAGAACGTGCAGAAATGGCTAGATTAACTTTAGAGATCAAAGAGAAAGAAGACTCTGATCTACTTTAAAACATGGAAAAAAATTTTTATCAATGGTTAGCAATACGATAGAATGAGAAAATATTTTGAAACTAATTTGGTTGAATGTGATTCCAAGCATTAGTGATTATAACTTATTAATATTGTATTAATTATGGTTATTTAGTAAGATGAATATTATTTATATCTTTTATTCTTAGGGTTGTTGTTAACCCAGTTTATTATACTTGTTTAGTACTATATAAGTGATGTTTATTTGATTTTAATATCCGGACGGTAACTTGCTTGTTAAGCGTGGATTTTTTTGTTGTACCCACCACCAATTCCCTTGCGTTTACCCTTTCTTATACCCCTATTGATCCCATCCCTTTCTGAGCCTTATAAAACCCAATAATTTTTTTAAAAAATTACTTTTTACTTCTTACATGTTCAATTACAAAATATGAGTGGCCCACAGGATAAATTGCATCCCAATAAAAAGGTAATGAAATTGTCATGTATATAACTAGACAGCTTCCTGCAGATACTCTATTCATAGTAATTTGTTAGAATTGTGCCTCAAAACTTTTAAAATTTGTCATGAATACAGAATTTCCTCCATTAAGAATAGTACCAAAAAGTTATAAAAACAATAGGTATAAAATGATTACAAAATATTATATCCATCTTCAGCTTTTTAAAACACAGCTTTAAATTCATAGTTGATTTTCAAATACAGTGTCCTATGTTTCTCTCTGAATTGAATGTATTTTGAATATCGGATGTTTGGTGTTTCAATTTATTAAAGACAATTACTTGGAGAGAGAGAGAGAGAAAAAAAAAGAACAGAAAGGAAACTTTGCCCTTCAAGCTAATTGGAGAACGTGATTTATGACTGCAAATCAGAGGAGAGAAATACGCTGGAATATTATGTGCTCAGGGGAGGGGAATTCAGATCTTGGCATCTACCATGCTGTGCCGACACTTCGCTTCACGATTAAAGACTTTTGAGGATAAACAATGCCTGCAAGTTCTTTGAAGTGTTTCATTAGTCGGAACCGTGACACCCTTAGTGTACAAAATTAGGCATTTTATAGAATTGATAGCTCAGGTCCCCAACCTTTGGGGCACCAGGGACCGGTTCCCTGGTTTTCCCGTGGACCGGAGGGTGCGTGGTTTTGTGCGCTGCCTGCATCCCAAGGATGGGACTTTGCTTGGTTGTTGCGGACCGGTTGCTGGCATGCTGTGGCCCAGTACTGGTCCACGGAGCGGGGGTTGGGGACCTCTGACATATAAAACGCCAAAAATGGGACGTCAAAGTATGAAATGCTGAATATTGCACACATTTCCCTAAGCCAGGGATCCCCCAACCCCCTGGTTGGTGGACCAGCAGCAGTCCACAATCCGCCAGGAACCGGGCCACGCAAACAAGCAAAGTCCCATCCGTGCACAGGCGGGATCCAAGAAGCATGCAAAACCAGACCCCTCCCATCCGTGGAAAAAACGCCCTCCATGGAATCGGTCTCTGACGCTCAAAAGGTTGGGGGGTGGGCCAGTGTCCTAGGCCAGTGGACCCCAACCTTTTTTGCAGCGGGGACCGGTTCCGTGGAGAGAGGTTTTTTCCATGAACCGGAGCGTGTGTGGTTTTGTGTGGTTCCTGCATCCCGCGGATGGGGCTTTGCTTGTTTATGCGGACCGGTTGCTGGCATGCGCGGTACCAGTCCATGGATCAGAGGTTGGGGACCCCTGTCCTAAGCCTTCCATGCAACCGGCAACATAATAAAATGCTCCCACTAAAATGTCATTTTTGCCTTCCTTGTTGCCACAAGTGGATCAATGCTGGACTTTTTTTCTCTTTGGTTTTTTTTTTTCTTCCCCTGTACTTTATTTTGCATTTCTTCTTTCATTTTCGTATCTATGTCTTTTCGATAAAGGGTTGGGGGTCACCTCCTTAAAACTGATCCTCCCTCTCTTAATTTCTCCCCTCCACCCTTATAGGGAATATGCCAGTGCAAACCTGAGCATCAATCTGTACATCGTCAACGAGCCCTGGCTGTATTCCATCCTCTGGTGCATGGGGGTTGAGTCGGTCACCTCGGACAATTCACATGTTCTCCGCCGGTTGCCTTCCCCCCTCTGGCTGATGGTAAGTGGGTTTTGTTGGTGACTGTTCTTTGACTGGGGTTTTCCCAAAGGCGCATCAGTCAAAGGGCAGTTTGCATACCACAGATGGTAATCTTTATTCTGAAGCTCAGTTAGAGGTTCTCCTTGACTTGACAACAACAACAACAATAATAATGTTGGAAGGGACCTTTGGAGGTCACCTAGTCCAACCCCCTGCTCAGGCAGGAAACCCTATACCATTTCAGACAAATGGCTGTCCGGTCTCTTCTTAAAAACTTCCAGTGTTGGAGCATTCACCGCTTCTGGAGGTAGGTTGTTCCACTGGTTAATTATTCTCACCATTAGGAAGTTTCTCCTTAGTGCCAGGTTGCTTCTCTCCTTGATTAGTTTCCATCCGTTGCTTCTTCTCCTGCCTTCAGGCGCTTTGGAGAATAGCTTGACTCCCTCTTCTTTGGAGCATCTCCTGAGAGATTGGAAGACAGCTATCCTGTCTCCCTTCGTCCTTCTCTTCGTTAAACTGGACAAGGCAACGTTGGCTCTTTTATGACTCCTGGACTTCAACTCCCAGAATTCCTGAGCCAGCATGGCTCAGCTTGGAAACCTGTCCCTTTTCCCTCAGCATGGGTGGCTCAGGAATTCTGGGAGTTGAAGTCCACAAGTCATAAAAGATTCCTCCTGATTTAGAGGGACCGAGTGCCCCCTGCTGGCTTTTGACTGCCAGTCCACATTTCATTTTGAACGGAATTGAATTCTTTATTGGCCAAGTGTGATTGAACACAGAAAGGTGTTTTTTGGGGGAGGCAACTGGACTTCCTTGCTTTTCTTTGAAGATGTTTCGCATCTCATCCCAGAAGCTTCTTCGGCTCTGACTGGATGGTGGGGAAATGGAAGGATTTATACTCCTTGCAGACCGTTGGTCATTTGCATTCTCTTAGAGAGCCGTTGAGGCCACTTGGAGGCTTATCTGTGTCCTCAGGGTCACATGGGTGGTGCAAATGGGTGGTCTCTCTCTCTCCAGTCTATAGCACAGTCCTTTCAGCAGTTCCAAGAAGGCTCCCCACCCATTTTCACCCCTACTCAAGTGACCCTGAGGATCTCCAAGTGCCTCAATGACTCTCTAAAAAAATGCAAATAACTAGTTTTTCTGCCAGGAGTATAAATCTTTCCGTTCCCCACCATCCAGTCAGAGCTGAAGAAGCTTCCTGGATGAGAAGCGAAACATCTTCAAAGAAAAGCCAACACAGTGCTAGGCTGCATTAACAGAGGGATAGAATCAAGATCACATGAAGTATTAATACCACTTTACAAGGCCTTGGTAAGGCCACACTTGGAATACTGCGTCCAGTTTTGGTCACCACTCTACTCTACTCTACTCTACTCTACTCTACACTACACTGGAAGTTTTTAAGAAGAGACTGGACAGGCATTCGTCCGAAATGGTATAGGGTTTCCTGCCTGAGCAGGGGGTTGGACTAGATGACCTCCAAGGTCCCTTCCAACTTTATCATTATTATTATTATTATTATTATTATTATTATTATTATTATTATTATTATTATTATTATTACTCTACTCTACTCTACTCTACTCTACTCTACTCTACTCTACTCTACTCTACTCTACTCTTCTACTCACCTGGTTGTACAGGTGTGATAACCAAACTGTTGACAGGTTCTACATTAGAAGAGCAGGAATTAATTTAGTAAAATTCAAAAATCTTAAAAGTTTTAGCTTGCCTGTGAGTGTGTCTTTACAGAGATTTATGGTGTGTGTCAGTGTCTTTAAAATTTGGCAACTTTAAGAAGTGTAGACTTCAACTCCCAGAATTCCCCTGCCAGTAGGGCTGCCAGGGGTATTCTAGGAATTTGCCCATACGCTGGCTAGGGAATTCTGGGAGTTGAAGTCCACATATGCTGGCTAGGGAATTCTGGGAGTTGAAGTTTACATATCTTAAATGAAAAAGGCCTGGGTATTAATGGTTAAACCTGACCATTTCTCTGCTCCCATTCCCCATGTTTTGTTTTTTTTAAAAAAAACCTTAATCTTTATTAAGTTGTTTTCCTTAATTTTCAGCCTCGGGACGAATACCATCTAATCTGGATAACAGCTGACCTCGCTTCCTTTGTCATCATTGTGGGGATTTTTATCTTCCAGAAGTAAGTAGCGCCTACCGATGACTTTGTAATATTGTTAAGAGTCTTCCCATGGAGTCTGGAGCCCCTTTGAATCCTTCCTCAGCCTGTTTCCCTCAGAGAATAAAAATAACAGGCCAAACTTCATCCCACTTGTCGATTCACAGCCACGCAAGGATTTAGCACTTGGCAAGGGATAAATAAATTGCCGAGGATCACAAGGACAAATTGTGGGGTCCTTGGTGCTCTCTGAGCTTTGTGGTTTTCTTGCGGACATGTCCTCACCCAACTAGATATTAGAGTCAGTGCTAGAAGGGAGAGTGTTGCTTTCTCTTTATATACTAGTGCAGTGTTTCTCAACCTTGACAATTTTAAAGCATGTGGACTTCAACTCCCAGAATTCCACAGCCAGCAATGCTGGCTGTGGAATTCTGGGAGTTGAAGTCCACATGCCTTAAAATTGTCAAGGTTGAGAAACACTGTACTAGTGGCTTACCCTGTCAGCTTTGCTGGGAGTGTTCTTCATGATCCCTTATATTAGGGGTCTTCAAACTTGGCCCTTTTAGGACTTCTGCACTTCAATTTCCAGGATTCCTCAGCCAGCTTGCCTGGCTGAGGAATTCTGGGAGTTGAAGTCCACAAATCCTAAAAGGACCAAGTTTGAAGACCCTGACATAATGTGAGGGGGAAATAATGCTAACTCAGAAGAGCTAAACTGGTGCTTCTCAACCTCGGCCATTTTAAGAGGTGTGGACTTCAACTCCCAGAATTCCTCAGCCAGTGTGTCTGGCTGAGGAATTCTGGGAGTTGAAGTCCACAAGTCAGGAAGGGGCCATAGTTCCCCCGTGCTGGCTGAGGAATTCTGGGAGTTGAAGTCCACAAGTCATGAAGGGGCCAAGTTTGAAGGCCCCTGCCTTATATAAATGGTTCCTATATAAATAGAGAGGAAACCCCACACCCTTCTAGCTATGATGATGTTGCCTAGTTGGGTAATGAAACAACCAAGCTCAGAGAGCACCAAGGACCCCACAATTCACCCTGAGCTGCAAATATTCTCTTCCAAGCACAAATTCTTTTCTGCAAAGTCTGGATGCCTTAAGGCGCCATTTTTCCCCCTTTCCCCCCAAGTTCCCGAACGCTAAACTTATATAGTTCTCTTCTTTTCTAGCCATTAGTGTAGGAAATGCAAGTTTAGGAAAGCAACTTACAACTTGGAGGGAAAAAAAGCAATCCATTGGTTTAGCGTTGCCCAGATATGGGTTAAATAAAATATCAGTTAGCTGCTGAAGTTTCGGAGAAAATCCTTAATGCCTTTTTAAGGCAACTTTGACATCAGCCAGCATTTTAAAACTTGAAGGTAGATGGGCCTCCACTCCCATAATTCAGCCATGCTGGCTGGAGGATTCTGGAAGTTGAAGTCCACCATCTTAAAGTTGCCATAGTTGGAAAAACAGTGTTTTGTTTTTTTTTTTTTTAAAAAAAGAGGTTGATATAAGAGAGAAGAAATTCTCCTGCTTGTTTTGTTTTTAAACAAAGTTAAAGTAACTTTGTCCTCATCTTCCAGGGAAAGAATGTCAACATTTCAAAACAGAAGGTCTTGATTGCCTCTTGATCTTGAATTAATTAAATGTATTTCTTTATTCAGTGCATATGGCCCTGGCCACTGACAGCAACTCTCCATGGTTTACAAATGGTGAAAAACTTCGAAAACCAAGGAGACCACAGCAAATTATTCTTTAGCAGAAAATATTTGTAGCTCAGAGGAGACCTGTGGGGTTATTTGGTGCTTCTCTGAGCTTGGTGGTTTCCTTGCAGACATTTCATGACCCAATTAGATAACATCACCAGTGCTAGAAGAGAGTGGGGTTTGATCTCTGTCAACGAGCTACTTGTTTATAAACAGAGCAAACTCTATTCTCTTCTAGCACTGGTGATGTTCCCTAGTTGGGTCATGAAACGTCTGCAAGAAAACAAGCAAACTCAAGAGAGCAACAAGGACCCCCACAGTTCTTCTTCTCCTTCTCTATCACCAGTCCTCCTCCTCCTCTACAAACTCCACTCCCTACTAGCACTGATGATGTTCCCTAGTTGGGTCATGAAACGTCTGCAAGAAGACAATCAAGCTCAGAGAGCACCAAGGACCCCATAGTTCTTCTCTATCACCAGCTTCTTCTCCTTCTTCTCCTTCTTCTCCTCCTTCTTCTTCTTCTTCCTCTTTCTCCTCCTCCTCCTCCTCCTCCTCCTTCTTCTCCTTCTTCCTCTTTCTTCTTCTCCTCCTCCTTCTTCTTCTTCCTCCTTCTCCTCCTCCTTCTCCTCCAGTTCTTCTCCTCCTCTTCCTCTTTCTTCTTCTTCTTCTTCTTCTCTTTCTTCTTCTTCCTTTTCCTCCTCCTCCTTCTCCTCCAGTTCTTCTTCTCCTCCTCTTCCTCTTTCTCCTCCTCCTCCTTCTTCTTCTTCTCCTTCTTCCTCTTCCTCCTTCTCCTCCTCCTCTTCCTCTTTCTTCTTCTTCTTCTCCTCCTCCTCCTCCTTCTCCTCTTTCTTCTTCTTCTTTCTTCTTCTCTTCCTCCTCCTCCTTCTCCAGTTCTTCTTCTCCTCCTCCTCTTCCTTTCTTCTTCTTCTTCTTCTTCTTCTTCTTCTTCTTCTTCTTCTTCTTCTTCTTCTTCTTCTTCTTCTTCTTCTTCTTCTTCTTCTTCTTCTTCTTCTTCTTCTTCTTCTCCTCCTCCTCCTCCTCCTCCTCCTCCTCTTCCTCCTCCTTCTCCTCTACAAACCCCACTCCCTACTAGCACTGATGATATTCCCTAGTTGGTTCATGAAACGTCTGCAAGAAAACCAGCAAGCTCAGAGAGCACCAAGGACCCCACAAAATATTCATTTATGCACCTTTATTCCTGACAGAGGGAATAAAGAAAAGCAAGAAAAGTGGGGTTTAAGTCACCCTCTCCAAAGCCCTGGAGGGGGGTGGGTCTTTAGGGCCTCTTCAAATGCCAATTGGGTGGGGGCCGTTTGAATTTTCAGGTTATTTTCTTACTGCTCTGACATATCTCTGCATGTCTCCTTCCCTGTTTCTTCTTCTTCTTCTTCTCCTTTCCGCTGCTGCATTTCGGCATCTTTACAGCTATCACTTGATCAGGTAATTGCTGGAACCTCCTCCCTCATTTCACCTTCATCTCTCTTTTGGTTTTTCCCTCCCCACCCCTTAACTTTCCTACAAGCTTTGTTGGGGGGAATAGGGAAGGAAGCCAAGGAAGGTTGATTTAATCCATTTATCTTACTTAATCCTCCAAGCCAAAGAGTTGGAGAGAAAGAGCGTCTAAAAAAAAACCCCCCAAGCCTCTACATCAGGGGTCTTCAAACTTGGCCCTTTTATGACTTGTGGACTTCAACTCCCAGAATTCCTCAGCCAGGCACGCCGTGCCTGGCTGAGGAATTCTGGGAGTTGAAGTCCACAAGTCATAAAAGGGCCAAGTTTGAAGACCCCTGCTCTCTTTCTCAACCTCGGCACCTTGAAGAAGTTGTGGACTTCAACTCCCAGAATTCCTTAGCCAGCCGTACTGGCAGGGGAATTCTGGGAGTTGAAGTCCACAACATCTTCAGGTTGTCACGATTGAGAGAGACTGCTCTAAATGACAGAGCAGGCATTTGAATATGTGTAAATTGATTTATTTTGTTTTGTTTTATCCATAAATTGATATTTTTGGATACAGTGG